AAACCCGCCAGCCAGGAGGACGAGGAGAGAGCTGCGGCTCAGGGTGCCGTTCCTGGCAGGGCACAAACCGTTGGACACAAGCAGCCCTGACCTGCCCCTTGACCACCCTGTCCCATGCCACCCCCTTACCTGCCGTACCGCTCCACCAGCACCCCCACCAGCAAGGAGCCCAACAGCCCACCCAGGGCGAAGATGGAGACAGTTAGGGAGTAGAGGAGGGTCAGGGGGCCAGGAGCCAGCCCGTGCCCGTACCGCTGGGACCATGTGGTATTGTAGAAAGCCTTTATGTGCTGCAGGGCAGAGAGAGACACATGGGCACCAAACACAGGGAAAAAGGGGAAGACAAGGGAAGGCAAGCCCCATAGGGAAAATGACATAGGTTTAACAGCATCGCAGGAGATGCAGGACAGGAGATGACTGGGGATGACTGGGATGTGCTGGTCTGGTTGACCAGCCAGTCTCAGCACCATAGGAGCTTAAGGACAACACAGAGATGCCACAGGCAGAGCTGGGGCAGGTAGAAGGAGGTTGTGGGGAAGCTTTCCCCAGCCCCTGCCTTCCAGGGACTGTACAAGAACACAGGCTCCTATGTCCCTCCCACGCAGTCCCTCTCCTTGGGCTGCTTTTTGTGGGCTACTGCCCAAGGGAAATGCAGCAATATGATGTGGGTCTGCTGGGCAGCAGTCCTTCCACTCTCAGAGAGGGATGCAGAGCCCTCCCCTTGTTCCTGGAGATGCTATCTGTCTCTTACCTCTGCTGGTGAATTCACCACAGCCAGGTTGTAGCCATAGAGCATGGAGGAGCCAAAGGACACCAGGAGAGTGACTGACAGCAAGGGAAAGGTGAGATGCTGGGAAAGAGGATGAGGGATCAGCACAGCCCTGGCTGGCAGGGCTAAGCTCACAAATGGTATGAGCTGCATTGCATCCCTGCTCCTTTAATAGTAGGGATGTCCCTGGCCCTGACTGAAGACCCCAGTGTGACAGAGCCCTGTGCTAAGCACCACTTCATGCCACCACCCAGCATCCAGCCCAGCAGGTCTGGCTTCCCCACGGCTGGTCTCATGGCTGCGGTTTGAAACTTGACACTGGCAGTGGCCCAGCTCAGGCTGCCTGGCCCAGGGACCCCTGCCCTGGGCTGGGAGGGAGCAGAAAGGCACAGGTGAAGGAGGGAGAGACACCCGTCCGTTTGGGGCACCCGAATGTCTCTGCTGCCAGCTATCCCACACACCCCTCCCCACCTGGCGGACCCACACCTCTGAAAGGTGCACTTCTCCACAGAAAGTCCCAGCCCTTCCAAAATGCCACATGCACTCACCTCCCAAACCCTTGTCCTCACCAGTGTCTCTGTCACCTGCTCCAGCTGCGGGGGACTCCCTGCAGTCCCGAGCCAGCCCGAGAAGGTTGAGGCCAGCCCAGCCGGGGATCGGGGTGCCAAGCAGGACCCCAGGGGCATTCAGCCCACCCCCCCAGCAGCAGAGGTGCTGCACCCGGCTGTCTCCCCGGCGGCAATAAACATCCCAAGCCCCACAGGGACAAGGCTGTGGCAGGGTGAGGCTGTGACCCCGGGGAGCAACCCCCCGCCCCAGCACCCAAACCTGAGCCCTGCAGCGGGGAGGGCACCCCTTCCTCCCCCCGCAGCACGGTAGCCAGATCCGTAGCACCCAGCAGCTCCCGGCTCACGCACAGCAAATCCCCGCTAATCCCACCTGGAATCCCGAGCCGGGAAAGGAGCAGGGGGTGTGAGGG